TGGGGTACTGGCTTTTTGTGTGTGCCAGCAGCCTCAGTGAGCGCAGTGACGGGTGTCCACCTCGCGCATTGCTGCGTGAACGCGCTTCACCATATTTGTCCAGTCTGTTCCTGTGTCTTTTTATTTTGATTCAAATTCCAAACGTTTTTATTGGTCCAAGAAGGAAAAGCGCAGTCTATTTGCCACGAAAAGTTCACCCGGTTTGGGACACATTTTTGGCCTCAAAATAGAGGTAACCCCAGGGTCTAACTGTGTAACTTCCTCGAGGGTGCTTGACCATTTTAACAGAACGTGGTGCGATCATCCCTCTTGCTCGGAGTGAGGTTCTCCACCCCGCACAACATGATCTACTCGATTATGGTTACCGCCAAAAAAAAAACCAAAGGTAAAAAAACAAACCGGTAACCTGGTTGCCGAGTTCACGAAGTGAATTGGCTTGTTTTACAACGTCGTTGCCAAGCGACGAAACCCAATCCCGATGGCAAACACCGGGGGGGGAGATAATGCCGATAGCAAAACCACCGGCACCAGAAAGTCCCATTTAGAAAAACGTACAACAAAACATTCATTCTTCTCTCCTCCTCGATCACGCCTAAGACGACGAAGAAAGGCAAGACAAACGCTGTGAGAACGATTGAACGAGGGTGGTATTCCACTAGGTACCGCAACCGCACCCGAGGACGTACCCCGAGTACAAGGGGGCAGGAAATCCCCCCCGTCATGCTCTGTCCTCTCGAGGACGCGTGGGCAATGGCCCAACAACTAGGGCATGGAAAATATGAGGACCTCCCCTCCGTGACAAATCTTCGACGCAACCTACGCAAGAAGCAAAGGCAAAGGTGGAGGCGACGCTGCCGAATGCCAGATGTTGTCGAGGATAGTTGTGTCACGAGACTGACTGGCCTTGCCGCCGAAAACTACTGACTTTAGCTTGTCCAATTACTTCGAACAATCGAAAAATCTCCCCGCGGTCAAGCAAAACGTGTTTGACAAAAAAAAGAAAAACGCAACACTCAACGTGCACTACGAGCACGAGAAGGCATCGCACCTCTAAATAAAAAGAAGAAAAAAAACCGGCGTACTGCCTCCTGTGTAGCCCCGGACGGTGTGTCTAGCTACATAGTTGAGAACCAAGTACGCTGAGAAGTTAAAGTGCACACACGCGGCAGACGTGTAGTGTGCACCGAAAAGGAGTAACCAGGCGGCGCCAGAGATGGGATGAAAAAAAAAATATCCATGAATCGGCTGCATTGCGTCAACTAAGCGCTTGTTCTTCTGCTGGTCGAAGCCGGCGTGCGTGTGTTCGGTGGGCCGGGGGGCGTAAGATCATTCATGAGGACATTCTTCATACCGGCTCCTGGGAAGTCCTCGAGAGTTGTCGAAGGATGTTCTTCGCATCCACCAGGCAGAGGACCGAGTCCACGCGATAGTTCGCCTTCACGTCCATGTCCTGTTTGTTTCCATGGTATATATATATATAATACTTTATATTGTGACGAAAAGCAAAAGATTAAATAAAGCACAAAAGCACGTTCAGTTCGGACTATTTATTTTTCTCCTGGTCATGGTAGGGCAGTCAGAGTTCGCAAACAACCAGACATCTCAAACGCAAAAACAAAACAACCCCCACAAGGGCAGCTTTGGCTGATGTTGCTCTCGGCCACACGACGGGCGGCCAGCTACACCAAGCGAGTTGGCACGAATAACGAGACATCGCAATCGTACCGCCCCCCAGGAGAAAAGCGCTCTGCGTGAAGTCATATTAATGGTCATTTGCTGCTCCCGATACCGTACAAAAAGGGCAGACAAATTCACAAAGAGAGACAGAGCCATTGCAAAAAACGCCTCCTGCCGTTTTCGTGGGCATCTCAACCGAACGAACAACCTCATAAAAATTTCCAGCCTCAACGCCAACTCGATTTATTGTTTTTTCTCCGGTACCATTTTTTCAAATAAAATTTCAATAAACCTGGTTAAAAGTGGCCACGATCGGGGAAGGGTCCGCGATCCCGGTTGTCTCTAGGAGAATGCAGTCGAAGGTGTCGCGGCGGTCGAGGAAGTTGACGAGGGCCTTCACCAGGTCGCCGCGCACCGTGCAGCACACGCACCCGTTGTCCATGGTCACGATGTCCTCGGCCTGTGTGGACCGAACGAACAAGCGCGAGAGAGGGTGAGGGCACGGCGGTGAAACGACCGGGCAACATTGCCCCACCCCCCAGACCCAACGGTACAGGGGGATTAGTCTAAGCATAGGATAGCCAGGAGAAGGCGGTAGCTGTATTGGGGCATCGGAAGTGGGTTGAAGAGGCAGAAAGTGTCATCGGCAGGATAGAAAGACTAGGGAAAACAGTATTGAGACAATTTTGGAAAAAGTATGAAGAAACGAATGGTCATCCGTGATCCGTCCAGTGGGAATTATGCTCCGTCCTGTAGACGACGCGTGGTCAAAGGTCCAACCGCTAAGGCATGCATAACATGAGTACGCCTCCCCCTCCCCCCCAACGCCTTGAAGGACTTCTGGAGCAGCAGCACACGCAGCCGCCCCTCATGTCCAAAATGAGATACTTCGTGGTCAAAATGGTGAGAACGAGGTAGTGAAGGCAAAATAGGTTGCACGAACGGACATGCACAACGAGGAATTTCTACAGCAGAGTTTGCGCGTGTGCTCGAACCTTCCAATGTTAACAAAGTAGTCCTCGGGTGACTCAAGCATGGTGACGCCTGCACTCGGCGAACACCAGTAGTAAACAAGCCCGACTCTTTCCTGCCCCGAAAACGTTTAGTTCAGAAAAAAAAAATATATATATATGTTGCGGGGGGTCGTCTGCTCCGCCTACTATCGGGAGGTCTCTTCTCGTCACAAACAAACCGACTGCACTTCAGGGCTTCGCGGCTCACTCTCGACGGCGTCTTTCGTGATGGTGGATCAAACAAGCCCAACAAATGATTCGTTCACTGCAGTCGCACGCGCGCCGACCGGCTTGCCTGCTTGCTTGGGCACTCACCTCCCGGACGTTCTCCTCCACGAGATCGGTGTCGATGCTCACAGCCCCGTACTCGTTCTCGATGACCGCGATCTTCATCTCCCTCTGTGTTGCCGCCGCACACAATATTTAGGTCGGGACGCGGTGGAATCTTGGGTGAGTTGATAGGGCCGGAGGATGCAGCCTTTCACACAAATACGTTCATGACGCACACGGGCTTTCACCTACGGCGACAACAAAAACGAGAGTTTCGAAAATGCCAGCACTTGTCAAAAGCAGCGTTCGCCCCGCGGAAATTTATCTGCCCGATCGCAATCAAGATGCCGACGCAGCCAACGACACCACTACGCCAGCCGTACTATCCTCCAAGGGCACCAGGTGGCAAGCAAAGAATAACACCAACCCAACCAAAGATGGAGAGGAACACGGGAGAGGGTGGGAAGGGAGGGCAAGAGAGACAAGGAGGCAGAGAAAGACGGGAAAGGAGGACTAGAGAGGGGTTGATCACCTGTTCCTTGAGTATGTAGTTCACTAGGGTAGTCTTGCCCGCGCCGAGGAAGCCCGTCACCACGGTAACCTGAAATAAAAACACACACACAACGGGTACGTGCAGAAGGTGAACCGGAGCCAACAAGGCCGGACCGGGAACCGGCAACTGTAATAGCCCTGATGCTGAGGCGCAGGGATGCGACAAGAGAAAAGCGGATATTGCTTCGTTGAGAAAAAGGCTCCGGTCCAAAGCCGTGCGGGTGTCAAGAGCACGGCAGGGGGCGAACAGAGTGCTTAGCTACAACAACAGGTATGACGTCATAACAAAATGTTGGTGGCGTCGGCGGCATGGCTAGCACAATTTAGTTGTCGGTTTCTTGCCGCTTACCGGAGTCTTCTCTTCTTCCGGAAGTTCCTGCGGGTAGTAGTCGTCGTCCTCATCGTCGTCGTCGTCCTCATCGTCGTCGTCGATGACCTGGGAATGGAAAAATTCGGCAAAAAAAAAAAACAGCAGCAAGAGGTGAGGGACAAGGGCTGCGATCGAACACAGCCACGGTTGTACGGGGGTGGCCTGCTCTCTGAAGTTCTCGTGTGCTGGGCAGCTGCGCCGACCATCACGGCATCCCATGCGCTGGCTGGACGACAGCAACTAGAATGTTCTTGTGAGTCGCGGGCACGGGAAACAGCTGGCTTGATCCAGCCAGTTGTTCTTGCACAGCAGAGAGTTTTTTCTCTCGTTTCTCTTCCTGCTAGCGGAAAACTCCATTAATAGCTCGCACGTACACTGTTGAGGGGAGAAAATGCTGTGCTCTTTCCAGTGTTACAAATCAGTTGTGCTTGCACAGCAGAGTATTTGTCTCGTTTCTCTTCCCGGTAGTGGAAAACTCCCATAATAGTTCTCACGTACACTTTTGAGGGAAGAAAATGCTGTTCTCTTCCAGTGTTACAAATCGAACGCAAGCACAACGGGAGGGGGGGTTCAGGGAGAGGCACCCTTGAATGTGCCCACGGATTGGAGCTTCAATGTGACCACGAAATAAAGCTCTTGCTCGGCGGACAAGTCGCGGTGTGAATTGTATTTATGGGGAGACAAGATGTTTGGGATACATATATCTCGGCAAGACTTGTTCGGAACCAATGTTTGCCGAACATATACGTATCGCGATTTATGAGGAACAAAAGTGAAATGTTGTGGGATGTTGATGCTAGGCGGATAAGTTGCGGTGTGAATTATATTTATGGGGAGACAAGATGTTTGGGATACATATATCTCGGCAAGACTTGTTCGGAACAAATGTTTGCCGAACATATACGTATCGCGATTTATGAGGAACAAAAGTGAAATGTTGTGGGATGTTGATGCTAGGCGGATAAGTTGCGGTGTGAATTATATTTATGGGGAGACAAGATGTTTGGGATACATATATCTCGGCAAGACTTGTTCGGAACAAATGTTTGCCGAACATATACGTATCGCGATTTATGAGGAACAAAAGTGAAATGTTGTGGGATGTTGATGCTAGGCGGATAAGTTGCGGTGTGAATTATATTTATGGGGAGACAAGATGTTTGGGATACATATATCTCGGCAAGACTTGTTCGGAACAAATGTTTGCCGAACATATACGTATCGCGATTTATGAGGAACAAAAGTGAAATGGTGTGGGATGTTGACAAAGGCGGCGTGCTGTTCGTCTTGCCTCCTTGAAGCTGATAAAAGGCGCAACTGCCACTTGGTCCACAAAAAACCATGGTGTGATGAACAATGAGCACGACGCCGTCCTAGAAGGCGCCCTCCCTCCCATAGCTGTATTCCAAGCCTCAACACTTTGGATGGATTCTAGCGGTGGGGGGCCACCCGGGATACATCAAGAGGCGACGTTACCCGCGTGTCATGCAGGCGGAGAAACAAAACTGTTCCGTTGCTGTCCAACCGCCAAAATGCGCATCAACCCATCTTCTCATTTCGTAGTAGGCGTACCGAGGTCAAACCTTCAGTGCCATCATCTGCACTCAACAGATCTGTTTGGGGCGCAAACGGCGGAGCTGTTGCGAAAAACATTCCACCGGCTCTTTTATCTACTTGGAAACAGAGTATTCTTTTGAACGGTCTCGCCACAGAAGAAGCAACAGCAGTTCATGTCACCAGCGATGCTTCCATCTCTGGATAGAAGCACTCCACAGCCACCTCACTTGCGTCCGAGAGAGAACGGCTAGTGGAGGTGGTAGCATCGAAGGTTTTGGCCTCGATGCCTCCACAACGGAGGGAGAAATGTGAACGGGTGTCACACGCCGATAAGGTGGAAGATGTGTGCACTCCGTTAATGACGCACGCGGCACAAGCCATAGGGCAAACATGAAATTTTTCGTGCGCCTTGATCGTTTTTCTCCGCCATCGGCGCCCGTGGCGTCGACACAGTAAAGTCAGGATTCGTTGGAGGCCCTTGCGAATGTGCCACGGCAGATTGCATAGCATTATGGACGATAAGCTCGACTGACCTATGGTAATCTCGCCGCACCCACCAGATTCGTATCTCCGCCCCAAGATTTACCCAGCAAGCTCCGCAAGACAAACCTTGGGTCAAGATTTGTTCGTTCGGGCAAACTTTGGGCCCCGGGCAAATTTTGGAGATTTTTCGGGAGATTTGTGTCTAACATTTCGTGAAACTGACCTATCTTGGCCCAAGAATTCCCAAAGATTGTACCCTCATATAGATAGGTCTGAAAAAAAATGAATCATTCAGTGACTAATTCAACGCTATGATCCATGAGAGCCACATGGCATCGCAGACAACGATCAAGTGCCGGCGGGACATCGGAGGTCATGATCAGGCTGGAGGCATGTATTGGTCTAGCGCCGATACGCTGCGAAATCAGCCAGCAACGTGTGACAAAGTGCTCGAGCCTCATACGGGCAAGCCGTAAACGCTGTTTTCACAGAGAAATATATTCGAAGAAATTCGCGCGGATGACTCTCTATCCTCGATAGCGCGTCCTCAAAACAGAAAATAAAAAATAAGTACCCACAACGAAGTCAACACTTCTCCAACCATACAAGTACTATTGACCAATGGACTACCCCCCGTGTGAGATTACAGAGCAAATTTCGCCCCACAAACGCGGAAAGCTGCTGTTCTCTGCTGGACGCCAGCTACATGGGTGGCGCATGCCCAGCGTGGTATTTGAGTCAATGGTATACGCCAACGTGAGGTCTGCTCATGGGTGGGTGCAAAAAGGAGCAGTCCCCAATTCAGGATTTGATCCTTCCAATACACAAAAATCCACTGCTTTGTCATTGCGCTGTTCAGACGCGACACCCAAATTCTTGCTATTCCGGGCAGCAAACGCATTCTCGTATTTTCCCTGATGATCAATCACAGTCGTCTTTGAGGACTGCTCCACAAGCCTGTTAATATCGTGATTTTATCAGGACCATTGTCGGAACAAAAAAAAAATCGAAAAACCGGTGGCCGCAGCCTTGAAAAGTCCAACCAATTCATTTTTCGATAGAAAACTTCCAGCTTCAAACCCGCCCTGACCATCCACCTTCATATGTTCAACCATCTAGACTCAGCGCTCCTCAACTGCTTCGGCTTTGAGTAAAGGCTTTTAGGCTTCGCCACCTCCAGGTTAATGACGTGGGAACCAAATGAATGGCTGCAATGTCTGCATCCGCCCCGTATGGACCATCCAAAGCGCATCCAATCACGTACAACATACTTGCGTCGCGTGGTTGCACAGCAACATCACGAATCCGATGCTGCCGGGCAGAATAACGGCGTGAGCAAGGAACTCCGAGCGTGTTTTGGCAAATGGGTGACTCGGGGTGCGGGACTACGTCGTGCCCGAGCTGAAATACATGGCAACTTTAATATACTGCCCGGAAAACAGCCTCTGTGTGAACTTCGGCAGTAGACGAATCCCGGGTCGAGGGGGGTGGCAGAGGGCCCTTTTGGTTGCTAGAAAAGTGTAGTACAAGTGGGTAATTAGTATTTATGCCTACTCACGAGGTCGCGACCATATCTCGTGCATCCCCACACAGTTATCCAAGGAAGTTTGTGTACCTCGGACGTACCATCTCCGCGGACGGGAAGGCCGGCCGGGAGATCACGAGCCGCAGCTGCCGAGCGTGGAAGTGCTACCGCTGGAACAGTGCTTCGATGTACGACAGGCGACGGGCCGGCCGCCAGCTCAAGATCCGGCTACTCCAGGCTGAAGTGGTCGAGACTCTCCTGTATGGGTGCGCCTCGTGGAGCCTAACAGCGGAGCACTACACGAAGCTCAATGGGACCCACCGCCAGTTCCTTACACGGTGCATCGGCTGGAGCAAGCGGAAACGCTCAGACCGCCCCCTGTCCTATGCCCAGGCCCTCATCCAGGCAGGCTGCGAGGAAACCATCGAGGCCACCGTGCGCAAACGGAGACTGTGTTTCGCGGGCTTCGTTATGCGTGTGGAGGACAACCGCCTCCCCAAGCGCATGCTGTTAGGAGCGATGGCGGGGGGCGTGGGATACCGGGGCGGGCAGGAGAGCGACTGGGTGTCTCGTCTAGGAGAGGACCTCGTGGCCTTCAACATGGGAGACGAAAAGGAAGGCGGGAAATGGAAAGAGAGGGCCAAGGACCCGGAGGTGTGGTACAACAAGGTCGAGGACGGGGCGGCATGGTTCATGAGGAAATGGCGCAGACAGGAGGCGGAAGTGTCCTCGAAGCGCCAGCGCGCGAGGGAAGCAGAAGCAGCGAGTACGGCCATCTCGGGAGCGAAGAGAAAGTGAGCCGGTGAAGCGGCGGTGGGGGGGAAGAAACGGCGACCGGGCACTGCTGTAGAAACGAGTAGGGCGGCCGAAGCAGCACTTGTGGCGAACTATGTACCCGACTGATGTTTTTGCGCCATGTTTCCTTCCGTCCCTGCTGTATGCTAGTCTATACTCCTTTACGTATGTCCTTTGTATTGCCTTCTGCCTCTGCTGTGTTTCTTTTTTTCATGTCCTCCCTGCCTTCTCTGCCGTGTTGGGTACCTTGATCTCCCGTTTGTTGTTGCTATATTTTAATACATTTGGCTGTCTGCCCATCTGCCGCCTCTTTGTCCTGTTGGCTCCGTTGCTCCCATGCCCTGGTGCGTAGTGCCTGGTGCTGGTACGGTACCCTTTTTGTTTTTAGGCGGGTATGGGAAGCGTCCTCCAATAACCTTGTCTGAGAAGACAGCGCAATACAGGCTTCATGCAGAAAAAAGAGTTTGTACAGCTTGTTCGCTTAATCTAGGTTTTAGAGTACATGCTTTTAGACTACAGGGGTCAGCCGATGCACTTTTTTTTTTTCCGGAGCACACTATCAGCGGATTGCAGCAGAGAACACAAGCACTGCAGGCGACACCACACAGCAGACAGCATACGCATAACAGGCGACACACACGCACAGCGGGCGACAGCATGTGGGCTCAATGCCGCTAGACTCTCT